GGGAGGATGGGATCGCATCTCAAGCTTTGAGCAGATGTGATACTGTACTGTCCAGTCATGGTTTCTGGTTTGGAAAAACCCTGATGGACTTTGTAGGTAGAACAACATCAGTACAGAACCACACATAGTCCAGAACAGCTGATGTATAAGCCTCCAGGTCTGAGCCCTCTTTGAACACTCCTCAGTCAGTGTGCTCAAAACAATCCTATAATGCTGAAGAAGCCTCCTCTGACCACAACTTAACTGTTTTGGTGATTGGTTTTGTCCTGCAGATCAGGGGTTTATATGGTGGGATCAGCTCCACAGAGATGGGATCTGCCCAGGTGTGGAGCTGTTATGCCTATGTATGCTCCCCGGATACTGCAATGAACCTGATCCAGGATGTTGTTGTCCCTGGTTGGAAAATTGATGAATCTGTAGAATCTGGGAAACACTGCTTTAAGTTCCACATGGTTAAAGTCTCCAGCCACAATCACAGCTGCTTCTGGGTTTGCGTTCATCTGCCTGCTGACCAGGCAGTACAGCTCCTCCAGAGCTAATTTAGCGTTAGCTCGCGGTGGTATATAGATGGCTACAATCAGGATTGCGATCTACCAACACTACCTTCGCAATCTACCGGTCGATCACAATCGACGTATTGGGCGCCCCTCATTTAGTGGATGCAGTTATTGTCTGTGGATGTTTGTTTCACCTATCGTGAGTGGGAGCAGTAAAATGTGATGCACTCTTTTAGCTCAATCTGCAGGGCAACCCGCTGTACTTCGAGAAGACCCACCGTACCTGCACTGTCCGACATCTCTCCCCAAAGGCTGCCGGTCTTAGAGTGAGTAATAATTATAGTCAACACATTAAAAAATAATAACTAGAAAAATGCCAGGCTGTGATCTTAAAATGTAGTCTTAAAGTTATAGCAGCTTTCTGCTCTGCATCAACAATGGCATTATATGTTTTAATTTCACAGTGAAAGCAGGCTCTCTACTCATACAGGAAAGCTGCTTGTTTACCACTTTTTAACTCAGAGGTGTTTTACATGACTCCCACAGGCTTCTTCTGTCATAATGATCAATCATGAACAGACCATTGTGGTGATAGCTGGAGAATTGACTGATAAAAATGGCATGTCGTGATTTTTTTGTTTTGTTTCTTTCCAGTTTAAACTTGATGGTATCCCACTTTCCTCATCTGAGTTATCAGTAAGTTTCTCAGTCAATATACTATATGATTGTCCCGCACCAGCGGAATGTGTGTGTTTAAACTCTCCTCAAAGTTAATAGGGGTACTGGAATTAATGAAATGTTAACTTATATGGGAAAGTGTTCAGCTGCATAATATTAAGGTGTAATATATGTTTATAGATACATGTACAGCATTATATTATACTTAGTCTAATTTTAGACCACTCTTTTGCAGGTTTTGCCAAATCCAGGCCAAGTGATTGTCCACATCCAGACATTGCCTCCAGCTGCCATGCCACCAGAATGGAGCATCCAAGAAGCATCCAGTGGTGCTGGGGAGCTCACTGACAGCTTGCAATTTGGAGAAGCGGGAGTGTCACACATTTGCAGGAAGAAAACGAAGGTAAGAAAGCTACTCCTACGTGAATTAAAATGGTTATTTATTGTTTTTGTGGCAATTATTTCAGCTAACTCACAAAGCTTCTTGGATCTGTCTAAAGTGGTGAATATCGACAAACTCAATGCTGTGACATATTTTTCTTTTTCAAACTGTTTTGTGTTTCAGAGTAAGGTGAAAGTGCGGAAGGCCAGCATATCTGAGCCCAGTGACACAGATTACGAGTCCAGACAGCCTTCCTCTTCACAAAGTGGGTTTTAATCCAATGCAGTTATGTTTTTGTAATATTCACCCCCTTTTCTCCCTTTTATTGCTTTATCCAATTAGTCCCACTTGTAGTTATAACTACTGCCTTGCTTGTAAAGGTGTTGACCAGGATTAAAACTTATTCAGCTGTTAAATAATGTTCTTTTTCCACTAGGCTTTGTCCTTCCATACCAGCAGGAGATTGAGCGCATGTCCAAGTTCAGAGAGCAGCTGGGGGACGATTGGCTGAGATACCAGCACCATCTAGATGGAGCATCCACCTCCAGCATCACCACCACTGTTGGCACCAGCCAGCCAACCCCTCACCATCAACCACTCCCCAACGGCCTCAAGATCACCACAACATGTCCATGCACCAGCCCTGGCCAGCAACAACCTCCACCATGCCTAGACGTCCCAGAGGATTTCCCCTCACCACGTCTCTCATCTGAGCCCAGGAAGGACACATCTGACATAGATGGAGACCTGGAAACAGAATCCACCCTACAGTGGCCCGGTCAGGGCACTCAGGAATCCACCTTGGAGGACAGCATGGTGGGTGATCACTTGGTAAGCCACGGAGTTGTGAGCTCTCCTGGGCCCAGTCCAGAATCCCAGATGTCAGCTAGAGCAGAGAACAGAGACACTAAGGAGGAGGATGAGGAGGAGGACCTAGGAGGTAGGGTATTTAAAACGTATACAGTGTTGTCCATGCCTATTTGTATATGAATGTTTTTAATAGACAGAAGTAGTCAGAGAGAAGATGTCAATAGCAAAACTAAATCCTTAAATTGGATTCTTGTCCACCTAAATGACTTAAACAATTGGTGCTTGAATGTAAACATTAAAGGAATTAATTATTTATATGCACTATACAATAAACTTAAAGTATTACAGTAACTTACAGTATTTTTCAGTAAAATGAACCTTGCATCTCTTCTGAGGAAATAATCAGCACAAAATAGTTTTCAAAGTTCTGCTCCTTTTGTCTTTTTTCTTGTTAGTGGACCTATGTCACCCCTTACTTGTGGGTGTCTTATCTGACAAAGAGGATGACAGTGGCCACAGTTATAAGGAGAGGAGGAGGGAGGTGTTTCTGTGCATAAAACAGGGCCTGGTGCTGGAGGTGGACGTGCAGCGTGGCCGGGAGAGATGCCGTCTGGAGCTAGACAGCTTAGCTCGGGTGGAAACCACAGAAGCCACATGGACCTGTGGGGTAAGAGTAGCAAAGAAAGGATAGAGAAGGATGGGACATATAAGGGGAAAAAGGATGTGGGGCAGAGTTTTAGGAAAAACTTTAATGCATCAAATCAAAGATGGTTTCCTCCTCAGCATGTTGTTTTGGCTGGACCTGCATCCCAATATGATCATATTGTGTTGTCACGGTGCAAAATTCAGATGTCCAAATTCATAATTCAGGAAGATTATAATTAAAAACAAACTTAATTGTATAAATATTTCAAATTATAGGCATTAAGAGATTTGCCTGTTGTAATGCACAACAGTGGAAACCAGTATTTAAACTGAATTAAATATGACTTTGAACATTTTATGTCATTTTGTACACATTTGCCATATTGATCTGTCCAATAACAATGCCACTGATGTCTTGATAATTATTTGAACTATATTGAAGAGAATATCATAGTTTTAAGATGTTCACAGATGAGTTTTGCTTGTCTTTCTACCAGGACAAAGAAGAGGTGCTTCCTGCTGTTGAGCTTCAGTTTGACTACATCAGCAGGGAGAAGAAGAGGAGATGCTACATCTTGCTTGATGATGATCCACAGCAGGCACTGCAGGTTAATAACACACACACACACACTTGAGTCCTCTTGGCAGGGACATTTATGATTACTTCTGTAAGTAATAAAATGTAAGTATTTTGATGAGTTTTATTCTGTCAGATGACACAAGATCACAGATGACACACACCTGCAAAAGAGTTAGATATACAGCTGGAAGGTTTTCATATGTGCACCCATCTCCATGACCCGTACAGTGAAGCAAGGTACAGAAGTATAGGTAAATGAGAGCAGCTACCCACTGACTTCTGGCATGTTTTGTACAAGTCTGGTCATGCTCACTGGCTCTTTGTTTTTTTACACATGGCTCTATCCAGAAGTGAACTTTGTCCCATTTTTCTCAGCTAGAACACTTGTTTTCTTTTCAGGCATTACTCAGATTCCTATTGTTGCTTGGTTTTATGGGAAATAAATTCACCTTTTTATTTTTTCACATTAGCATGCTGTTTAAGTATAAAAATGTTTGTTGTCTAGGTTCTGACTGATGTGCTGTCTCATGTCGTGGTGGAAAATCAGCGGCGTGACTCTGAGCTCCGCCCCAGCTGTGTCCACCTGCAGTGCCTCCGCTGCAGGTCAGAGTTCATGCTTCAGGGAGACAGCAGTGAAGAGGAGTCAGGGGGGAGAGCAAGGAGGAGAGGGGCTGCCATGCTACCAAGGGGTGTGGAAGAACAGGATGTAGCAGAGTTGACAGAGGCAGAGTGTGATGGCAGCAAAGGTGAGAGTGATGAAAGAGAAATTTCCAATAGTCTGCAAGCAACACTTGGACAAATACAGACATGAGGAACTTTACACAGTGTGAGATGAGTCATTCTTGTTTTTTTCCCCAATGTCAACTGGTTTTCTGGTTGAAAACTGAAGATAAGATAGGAAAGACTCAAAACAAGGTCACACATTTCACCCGTCACCTTGTCACAATAATGCAAAAAATGTTTATCATTATGACGCCAAAGCATTTCAAGATTACTCATCAACTATCAGATTCCCATTGGTAGCCTGCATATTTCCCAAAACAGTCTTTGTTTCAGGTGGGCTCGAGTGAAGCATCCTAGTAGTTATCTCTGCCCTTTCATTGCCAAGTGGTCCATTCCGCTGAGTCCACACTTCTGTAATCAGCAGGAGGCAGATAATACCCTTAGCTCCAGCAGCCACTTCCTAGCAGTTCAACCAAACCTGACATCAAGACCTGTTCCGGCATGCACAGATGGCGCACAGGATTTGTTTGCCAGATGTTTTGAGGATTTCTTGGAGCCATGTTCCTTTGTCAGTGTTAGTGTGGTGTTCTGTTAAAATGACAGGCAAAAAGTATTTCTTTCATGTGCACGTGTCTAACCTAAGATATTTGTTTGCCTGCGGGTTACAGAGATACCTGCCCTACACAAAGAAAACAGATCTCCATCCAGTGAATTTATATTATATTATTATATGTTGGTTTGTACAACAGTATACAGCTGTTTGGACTTAACCTCCTCTTTTCTATAATCATTTTTTTCACAGGAAACAGTAATATTTGTTCAGAATGTGGTAGCAATCATGTGGTTCAGGTTGCTGGCCAGTCAGCCCCCTACAGCAGTACCCCCGTCCATCATTCCTCAAGGGCCAACAGCGAGGGCACCCATCTTGATGTAACCCAGAGCATTCACAGTGCCAATAAGGTCTTTCTGATCAGTTACACACTTGTTTTTCTTTTTTCTCTTTTACCATAACTGTCAAAACAGATTCTCATTATGTCTCTGTATCACAGCAGGACAGCTACACAGATGTCAGCATTAACAGTAGTCCCGCCCTGGAAACTGCCACCACAACAGAAGATTCATACTTCACAACAGCCCAGGGAAGCTCCTTCTTCATCGAGGATGCTCCCGGAAATACCTGTAGCCTCTCCAATAATACAGAGTGCCAAAGTAAAGAGGACCTGGCTGGAAGCTACCACTATGACCCTACCGGTGAAGTTGACTTCCAACCTGCAGGAATATCCACCCCAAATGGTGGGTTTTGTCTTTTTTTTTTTGTTGTTGTTGTGGAAAAAGAACAGAATTTTCTCAGAAAATACAGTAGAAGTTTTTTTTTTTTTTGTTTGTTTTTTTTTTTTTTTAAGTCTTGAATTGAACTGGCAGAAATATTAAACGTTTACCATGTCCATGGTAGGCTAGTGGTTAAGGCGCAGCACACTCGACACTGCAGCCTGGGTTCGAGTCAGGGGTGTGTCAGGAAGGGCATCCGGCATAAAACACGTGCCAAATGTCAACATGCAAGTTGTCAGTGTGACAATTCACCATGGCAACCCCTAAACTTTGACCATGTTTTTGTTTAATCCGTCGTCCATCCATTTTCTGCTGCTCATCTGGGTCCACGTTGATAATATCTGATAATATCATTGGTAATTATTTATATGACCTATAGGAAGTTCTGAAAAAAGATCATGAACTGGGTATTAAGTGCATTGTATAAAAACAGTATTGAAAAGTTTTATATTTAACATAAATCATCCAGAAACCCTGTTTGTCAGGGCTGCAACTAATGGTTATTAATTTGACAACGAAGCATTGAGCAGAATGGTTCTCAACTGGTAAACCGTCAGGGATGAAAGACATCAGGTCATGATTCACACACTGAGCATCATTCAGTTCTCATTTATTCATTCTGCCTGGTAGTGGATTTAAACCCAGGGACCACGTGTTGTGAGGGCACAGTGCTAACTGCTTTGCTGCCCCGCTGCAGACTCTTTACATCCAAAATGGTAATGTGGTGTTGGCAAGACAGTTTATTGAAAAAAGCCCATATATAAAAGGTACTTTATTACTTGATTCAAAAGCTACATTTCATATGGTCATTGTAAAACCTGTCAACCATGGCATGTGGTATAAACTGTTTGCATCAGCTTCGTGGCCTTTCCTATTAAGTCCTAATTGAAGCAGAGCAGAGATGGGAAGTATTTGAACCTTATGGCTATTGTGTGGCACAAAAACCCTTCAAAGTGCTCTGTATCTCTGTCAGCATCCGATTTCTTCCACATCTGTCTGCCATTTGAAAACGAACCATATGGTAACTGTTCAACAAGACAGATTGGAGTCATTACTAGAAGTGATGGGAGAGGAATGAAAGCCGAAAAGAGGGAGGGCTGAGTCATAATAGCTTTTTGTATCTTTTTTTTCCTTTTCTAATGTTGCAGTTACATTAGTGCCAATATCATGTTATCGGTCCTCCTGAAGCCGCTGTCTCACATTGAAGAGAGCTCATCCTAAACCACTGACAGTGAATGTAGTATTTTTTTCATGACTGTGCATCCATTGTGTAGCAAATCCTTATTTTTATTTTTCTCAAAAAGTACTTGTGTGTGTGTGTGTGTGCACTTTTCACCTTCAGTTAAGAATGTTCTCTGAAGATTCAAAGGTCTCTTTAATCTAATCTGTCTTTGTACTCTCTTCAAATGAAAAACAGCGGGTTTGTTTTGGCCTCTGCACGTCCATGGCTTGTCGTTGTTGATTAGCTGTAATCATTCATCAGTGTCCAAATAACCTCAATTGCTGTTCACTGGTGTGTTTATTGCTCTTAAATTCCTTTCTTTGTGAGGGAATTTGGCTAAAGCTTTAGTGTGCTGCAGTAAAATCTGGCTAAAGTTTCATAAAAGCCAAGAAATATTCAAGTCTTCTATTTGCTGCCAGGAAACTATGTCTAAACTGTAAGATATGATTTGAGGGAATAAATGAAATTCATATTGAGCATCCATCCATTATCTATACCACTTATTTTAACAAGGGTCATGACATTGGGCGAGAGGCGGGGTCCACCCTGGACAGGTCGCCAGTCTATCACAGAGCTGACATGCAGACAAACAACCACACACTTCTGCAGACAATTTAGAGTCGCCAGTCAACCTAAGCTGCATGTCTAGACTGTGGGAAGAAGCCAGAGAGAACCAACACAGGCACCGGGATAACATGCAAACTTGCCCTGGGTCAACACATGCTTGAAGCTAGAACCTTCTTGCTGTGAGATGCTAATCACTGTGCCCATATTGAACATTTTAGTACTAATGAACTATGAAAGTTTGAGTTTATGTAATGCTGAGAAACATAACCAAACGTGGCCCTGGATTTGAATGAATTGGTATCTGCTCTCAAACAGCATCTTGGTTTGGTTATTGTGTGTTAATGCTGATCAGCTGTTGTGTTTATAGATGATTTGGACCTCCTGTCTGAGGACTACGAGGCAGTGGACCATCGACTGAAGCTTTTTCTGGATATGGAGGTGTTTGAGAAGGAGGAGGAGCTTCACGCTTTCCTTAAGGTATGGTTGGTGAGCAGAATTTAGCTACAGTAGCAGTTGCAGCCTGTGACTGATCAAACTCAAATTTAGCAGCACTGCTTTTATGTTGCTGTAATTGTTTCTGTTTTTACTGCAGTTTTAAAAAGTGATTTAATGTTTTCCCCTGATGGCCAAAAGATTCCAACTTAACAGGTGCTGACAACTTTAAGATCCACAAAACTTAAGTTGCTGTTTCATCTCAGTCAGCCAAGATGAACACTCCGTAAATCTCTTGTGAGCTCATTCAGCCCTTCTCTTCTTCCTATTCTGTAGCTCCTTTGATTAGTTTTGCACCCCCTGCCATCACTCTGCATTCTCTGAGACCTCTTTAATATGCAGCACATCCTGGGAGCCCTTCAAATCAGCAGACTATTGCTTTTCACTGTCAGACTCCTGGAGGAAAAGCAAAGAGTGGAACAAAACCGAGTAAGCCACAGCTGGAAACAGGAGCTCCTGCTCGATTCTTAGATCTGTTTAATTATCCAGTGACGGGGGCTGCTCATTGTTTCACTTACGTTTTTAAATGTTGTTTTAGTCGAAATAAGACAGAACCTGGATCGAGACATTTGATTTTGAACACAAACAGCCTGTGAAAAACTAATCGTTATCAGTGGAGAATATTTTCTTCCATTTAGGCTCATTTTCTTTTTTTATTCTGTTGATTTATTTCTTTTAAGCTTATTTTTTACTTACAATCTGCTTGGCTTTTGTAAAACTGCCTGGCATACCTAGTTGGGTTTTCTAAGCAGCTGCTAAAACCCAAACATTTTCCTTTTGGTGTTAAAAAGTACTTCATCTCTCTTGCTGTGCTGATTATTAAGCTGTAAAAGGCTGTGGACCAGTGAGAGCAGCACCAATAGCATCAGCTTAGTGATTTTTGAGAGAATGTCTATTATAAACAACATGATGTTTTTGTTTTTGTTTTCTTTTCTTTTCCTAAACTGTATGTTATGTCTCCCCTAGATGTCAGCTGTCAAATTTGGAGAGCCAGGGGAGGTTCCCTCTCTGCTGGTGGTGTCAGACCAGCGAATCTATTTCCTGGAAATGACATCAGAGATTCGGTAAGTAGAGCAATTTTTCAGGACCCTTGTATAATATAATTTTGGGGGGGGGGGTTTTGGGAGAGTGCACAAATTCATTTGATATGTTTTGCATTAATTATGCATGTATGTATTAACAGTGTGTTTTTGGCATTAAAAGAAAAGAACGAGGAAATATGGCATTATTTTAGTCATACTGATAGCCCAAAATTGTCTCAGTGGGTATTACAATCTAAATTGTCTATCCTTAGACCTTACACTTTTTGTTTAAGTATAACATTTCCATGAAAAGGAGGGGAAAACCTCAGGAAGTGCAACACAGACTGGAGCAGGTGCCATTTGTACAGAGTAGAGAGAAGCAAATCAAACACCAATATGTAATATTATGGAAGTTAAGTGAAATAAAGATTAAGTACAGTAAGTTTCATGTACAATGGAAAGGAACAGTGTACAGTGCCTGCATTTTTAAGTTGGATCCTTAAAGGTAATTTGTACGTGGTCTAATCTAATCCAAGTCACTTAGATCTTGACAAAACACTTTTCAATACATCCGTTATCTATACTGCTTATCCTGAACAAGGTCACGGGGGTGTTGGAGCCAATCCCAGCTGACACTGGGTGAGAGGCAGGGTTCACCTTGGACAGGTCGTCAGTGTATCACAGGGCTGACATGTAGACAAGCAGCCACACACCCATACTCACTCCTACGGGCAATTTAGGGTTGCCAGTAAACCGAAGGCGCATGCCTTTGGACTGTGGGAGGAAGCCAGAGTACCTGGAGAGAACCCATGCAGGCACAGGGAGAACATGCACATGCTCAGAACCTTCTTGCCGTGAGGTGTCAGCGCTAACCACTGCATCAACCACTGCCTCATCATGTCACCCACACGAGACATTTAAACCAATATTGCTCGTGCAGACAGTGACTCAAAAGAGGGCGCCACACTGCAGCTATGGCATTTAATGGTGGTGTGCGGCTCCATGCCCTGCGATTAGGGTGTGGATAATATTTCATGACCTGCTCAGGTTTCTGGGTCACAGCTTGAGAACACATTGACCTTCAATTGTCTGACTGTATTTTCTTTGTGCTAGTTTTAGCCACTTTCTTCTTTTCTGTCTCCTCTGTCGCATAATTGACAGGATTTTCTTGTCTCATCAAAACAAGATCCATTTCCCCCAGTTCTGAAGCCCGTAATCTGATGGCTCTCATAAAATGACTACACTGTGATTTTAGACCATGAGAACCGACCTCTCGTGTTCTTGGTGCCATGCAAGAAACCAAACTGTTACTATCGATTTGACCATTTCTCATAATCCCTGAAAAATGAGGTATTACATAAGTGATTACCATGATTGTACTGAATAAACTTTAAGTGTAGTAACACTGTTCTGGCAGTCGCACCTCCAAGTCTCAGAGATGAAGTACATTTCCTGCACTTTCTAATGCCTGACGTCTTTTCCTCTCAGCAGAGGTCAGCCCTCTGACTGGCTGCAGAAGAGAGACAGTCACCCAATCATGGAACTCAGCTACCTAGAGGTGGGCCTGGGCTCTCAGAGCATCCACATGGATTTTGGAGACAGGGGTGTGGCCTACACCCTCCTTGTGAGGGACAGTTTACGCTGCAAACGCTTCTTTGGCCTGTTGACAGGTAAAAGGAAACTATGACTAATACAAGCCAAGTAGAAAATGGTATCTTTTAATGTATGGAAAAACTTGAAAGGGAAACTCACTGGTTTCAGCTGTTTTCTTTTTACACTTTTAGGGAAGATGCTTCAAAATAAACCACTGACTAATTTAGATTTTAAAATCAAGGCACAGTGCCACAGGCTGTGAAACCCAACCTACTCCCCTCACAAACTAATACTGTACTATACAGTATGTGTGCTGTGTGATGCAAATTTCTGCCCAGTCTGCCTCAGCATTGGGTTCACACAGATTGAGCACATCCTGCCCAGTCCAGCTTGTCTGTAAGAGAGGACCAGAGGCCCCTTTTATTAGACCAGGGCTGCTGCTCAAGTTTTGAATATATGGAAAATGAATTTCACACTTTTCAATCCCTACACATTCGGTGAAAACAGGAGAACATCTTTGCATGTATGGACAAGTTCCTGATGCTCAGTTCTATAGTACACATAACTTTACACTTAGGGAAATTTGTCATGTACTTTTGTACATCCAGGAAGAAGCGAAAGTGTATTTTAAACCTTTATTTATATCACCACCACCAAAACTCCAATTTCAGAAGCATGGTATCCACAAACCTACCTTCCAAGTTCCATTTGATCCTCTAATATCATCAAGTGATATTTTTAGGTGTATTTCTCTTTTCTTTTTTTAACTCCTAGTCTTTTCTCTGTCTTCTGAGAACTTTTTCTTACTGTCTAAATGCACAAACAGCTCATTTACTGCTGAAAATGATTCCAGAGTTTCTTCAGAAAGACCAAAGAGTTTGTCCAAAGCAGAGCAGAACAAGGTGACAACAACCTTCCCGGTGCATCATTGCTATGTATACAAAGCTGATGTTTCACATGTGTTTAAGAGCCAACTACTTACACATAAAGTATATATTGTTTATATTTCCATTTATCCATGAAGACCAAGATAACAAAGCTACTATTATGCCAGACTCTACATTGATAATGTCAAATTAACCCCAAAACAACTGTTACGGTCTCAGAAAATACAGAAAAGCCTAACCATGACAAAACCCACCCTGTGGACAGAGTTGAAAAGCACAACTGGAATGACGAAGGACCTGCTGGCTTGAGAAGAGAGAGCAAGGATGTGGTTGTAGGTGGGACAGTTTGTGTGGAGCTCAATGCTTTTTGCTTAAGCTGTAATGAAACATGAGAGGTAACACACACCTGTGGAATCTGTAGCCAAAAGAGACAGAAAGAGTCTAGTCAGGCATTTACATTGCTGGTCTTCTGTTATTGTTGGCCATTTGCTTTTTCTCCCTCAGGAATCAAAATATGATTTGGTAAGAGTGATGGATACGCCGCCCTAACGTGGTTATAGTCTTAGGTAAAAATGCACCTGTACCTGTTGCTTTGGGCCCTGGCTGTGATGTAAAAATCATCAGGGCTGTTGCTGTTGTGCTGAAGGTCTAAGACTGGAACAAGACCAGAACACCAACTAGACTCTATCCATCATAGATATGGTTCTCAACATGCTTGGGCTGTCACCATTGCTGCCTTGTGAGCGCAGTCTTGGATGGCACCTTGCAAAAAAACCATTCATACTGACACATTACTTAATCTTGTATTTAGTCACTTGCTGCTGCCTCTCAAATACATGCAAGTGTTCTGCCAACAGCGTGGGAATTTTTGACTTGTGTCCAATGCATATTTATTTCAAAGTGATCCAGCCATCTGGCATTTTTGTCCAAAATATTTTATGGCAAACTGAAACTCATCACTGGTTTTTAACTGGACCTTTTTCTTTTGAAAAGAAGCTACTGTAAAACTAAAGTTAATCTGGTTAAAACTTACTTTCCTTGTTGTAAAAAAGTATTTAAAAACTTCAGAAGCATAACGGATAACAAGGCAGGAATGTTACCTTTGTAATACAACAGCAACACTTTACAGTTAAACAATTCAGCGGTTAAGGTAAGAGTTAGTGCAGCAGTGGAGTCATGTAACACTGATTATTAAACCTCAGTTACTTCCTGACTGCTGACCGAAATCTGTCCATAGTACTGAGTGTCAAACGTATTACAAGCTTGGTCAGAGTCCTAGTGTTGTCTGGTTCTGTTTTGATCAGATAGTTCCTGTGTGAATCTTAATTTTCCTCATTTTATACAGTACATGAGTCAGGTGAAATCCTTTTACAGTGGGGAAAAGAATTATTTGATCCCCTGCTGATTTTGTAGATTTGCCCACTTACAAAGACATGAAGGGTCTATAATTTTTATCATAGGTTTATTCTAAAGGATGGAGACAGAATATCAACAAAAAATCCCAAAAAAGCATGTGATACAAATGTTTTGTTTGTTTTTTTTCTTTTCAGAATAGGAAGAACCACCGCATGTTTAAGAAGCGTGCTGATGAGGCAGAATGTGTGTTATCATAATCCTGCTTTCCTCCACTGTTAACCTTCTTTCTTCGCCTGTCCTCTTCTTGAAATTCTTTTGAAGCCCGTCCTATTCAGACCTGACTGTGAAGCCACACTGCAGATACCCTGTCTGCCCTCTATTGTTGTCACTCAATGACATGCTACAATTTGAGAATGTAAATGTGATCCAGCTCGTTGAGCTCCCAACATTTTCTCACCCACTGATTCTGTTCTGCTGAAATCTGGTACCTGCAACTAGACACCTTTTGGCTGTGTTATTACAATTAGAATAGCAGCAAAAGAAGAGATTACACATTGAGTGTGGCTTTTGTGTGTAGACTTCTTTCCTCAATGTCTGGGTGTTAAACGTTTCTGTGTCCTTTACAACTTGGAGGTGAGTTTTTGCTTTTAGACTGGTTGAGTTTTCACTTGTTTTCTTTGACCCCTGCACATTTTTGCCTCTCTGATAGATTTACTCACAATATCAATGCTTGTTTCACCAGGCTTTTATCCCAAACATGTCGTGAAAGTGAGCAGAGATGCAGTTTGAGAGCTGTTTAACGTTGCATGTTTCAACAGATAAACACAGCTGTTCACCTTTCCAGCTGTTTCAGATGAATCCATCCTCTTCCCTGGTGTTCTTGGTTTTGAAAACATGATGCTTTGGTAGTTTTACTTTATTTATTTCCATGTGTCATGAAAGACACTACAGAGATCAGTCTGTGGGTGTGGCTTAGGGCTGCAAATTATGCATACTTGCATTGTTGGTTTATCTGTTGATTACTTTTATGCTTAATAATTTATTTGTATTTTAAAGAGCAAAAACATATAAAAATACCCATCACAACTTCCTAGAACCCATCCATCCATCCATTTTCTTCCGCTTATCCGGGGCCGGGTCGCGGGGGCAGCAGTCTAAGCAAAGATGCCCAGACTTCCCTCTCTCCAGA